CATCCTAAAATGCAGCTGAGTGTTATTTATAAGTATCAAGAGCCATGTTCCATTGTTGGACTCTATTAAAATGATATATTTTAGATACTAATTTTTTGTGGGTGTGTGCTTCACTTTCAGGTTTCAAAAAATGTGAACAGTATGACGGTGAGGATGCCATACCAGTGTTTCATAAATGGGCAGTTTATAAATGCTGATGATGGAAAGACATACGACACCATAAATCCAACAGATGGATCAGTGAGTAGTTTCTAAATATGATCAGTAACAGTTTATTTCAATTTCCTTTGAAATATCTAGGACACTAACTGAATATCTCTGGATTCAAAACCATACAATACAAGAACTCCATTTTTTTTTCAAACTTACCTCTTGATTTATGTAGTTTTCAGTTGTTGCATGTCAGTCGAGTTTCACAGTAATTAACTCATTGGTATTTTATGCCAATCTTCATATCCAGCTGTTTGCTGATTGTTTTACCTGTAAGGTAAACCTTACAGGTAAGAACCTGTTTGGCTTTGCAGAAAAAAAAAAAAAGAACGCTAAGGTTTAGTTGCTAAAGAAGTATTTCTACTAGCATATAAATATATATTTCCTGTTGCTCACCAACTTGCTAAGGTTTAGTTGCTAAAGAAGTATTAATATATTTCCTGTTGGTCACCAACTTCAGTTTTTTTTGTTGTTGTTGTTGTTGTTTACAAATTGTTGTTGTCTTAGGACAAATTTGACTTTAAAATGTACCTTTAAATTCACAGTAAGAAAATAGAACTTTTCAATAGGAGAATAGATACAGTTCTACTTTATCATCTTGAAGATACTGAATCTTGGTTGAGCGACTGTTAAGTAAAAATTATAAAAAAAGGAGCCATCCCGATATCTGCTTATACTATTGTAATTCTGGAGTAATGAAATTCCAGTGAAATCAGTGGCACAAATTTTACTAGGATTGGAAGCCAGAATCTGGTACTTTCCTTGTAGCTCATTATGGAATGGAATTAAAATATAACAAAAATATGTTTTAGGCTTTAAAATATAATCATTATGGGATATAATCATTATAAAATAATATGTGCATATGATTCATGGTAACAGAAGCTCCATTCCAGAGAAACAGAACATGCAGGAGTCATTTTAGCATGTTCAGGTAACAATATCGTATGTTCAAACTTTCCACTTCTGTCATATCAGTTTATATATGAAAAGAGAGTGAAATCCAGTGGGATGATGCTCCTTAGTGCTGAAGAAAAAATGAATATATCTAGGAATCAGAGTCCCTGCACTGTCCTCCAAACTCAGCCACCATTAGTTGCGTCTGAACTTTTCGGAACCTGATTCACCCATGATCAATGATGGGGCTTGAGAGTATCAAGTGTTTTCTTATAGCCAGTCAAAAACTTTAGGAGGAAGGAGTAACTTCATGCACCCCGGTCTTTCAAGCTGAGCTAACACATTGCTGCCTTGTCACAGGTAATAGCCAGTGTATCCTCTGCTTCGTTGGTTGACGTTGACAAAGCTGTGGCAGCAGCGAAAGAGGCATTTGAAAATGGTGAATGGGGAAGAATGAATGCACGGGAACGAGGGCGACTCATGTACAGGTATGTAAAGGGTGGCATTGTGTTTGTTTAGTTTTCTTAAAACTAATTATTTGGTTCCTCTGAAGAATTACAACAGACTTTATCTGAGTATGATGGATATTCCTAATCCCATTTTCAGAGTTACTAGATTAGCTATATTTTCATCTCCTAACATATTGCAGTGCTATGTCTTCATTTTGCTTTTGACTGAAACTTTGGCAGCTTCTTTGAGAAATTCTGACCCTCCAGTTGAAACCATGTTAACATGAAGAATTTTTTTTGTGTGAATAGGAACAAAGAATTGGAGGAAAAAGACTTTAAAATACTCAATGGCTTCATTTAGTCTATATGTTTTCCTCCTGAATTGCAGGGATTAAGAATTCTCTTATAAAGTCCAAATCTTTCTGTATAGAAAAGACTTAGGTTTTGCATTAAGTTTTGCATTAAGTTAATGCACAGTCTAACTAGGTTAAGTAGGCAGATCTGACCTCCCAAACCCTATCTGTCTGCACTGCATACAGTAAACTTATGACCAAATTGCCACTGATCTTGAAATACACTATTTTTTCTAGGGGATATATCCCAACATCCTTCTCACCTGGCTAAAGAGCCACCTTGGAAACTGTTCTGTGGTCTGTTTTGGGATAATAGTCTTCTGTAAAAAAAGTCTAACCTGAATCCCTGAAACCAGGGGTCCCAACACTGCACTTCTGGGGGAATGTTATTTTAATACAGTTCTTTGCCCTACCAGATCTCACTTTAGGCTGCCAATGGTTAGATATCACCTCTCTTTGATGTGTGTTTGTTATGTTTTGATTGAAGACTTGCAGACCTGATGGAAGAACATCAAGAAGAGTTAGCAACAATAGAATCTATCGACTCAGGAGCTGTCTACACATTAGCTTTGAAGACCCATGTAGGAATGTCTGTGCAAACATTCAGATACTTTGCTGGATGGTGTGACAAAATTCAGGCAAGTGAATATGTAAAGGAAGAAATGAATGACAGTGCTTCTGTGCACATTCTTTGCTGACACTGCCCCAAAAAGCAGTATTAGCAAAGGTAATCAAGAAATTCGAAAGTAAAGCAAAAAAAGTCTACCTGACAATACAGAAGAAGCATAGTCTGCTTCCAGCTGGAGAATATGGATTTAGAGTCTGACTCTAAATACCTAATTATATATCTAATAATATCTATGTAATTGGTTGAGGTATCCTAGCGTATATGCATCTTTAGTCAGCTTTTGGTTGTTCATGGATCAGAATGGCCCTGTGGTGGCTCAGCTGTGTTGCAGGTGCAGAGAGCATGAGCTCTGTTACATCCTGACCAGATGAGTTCGCTTGATGCCGTAGCACATGGCTCAAGTTCTGTAATATTTCCTGAAGCATCTTTAAGATCCGCAATCAAGACTATCATTCAGCTTTCTTTTCTTCATTATATCCTCACTTTATGTTCTTCCATACTATTGTTATGTGCGCTTTTATTTTATCCAACTGATAATCAAGAGTTGACTACAATACCAGTAGTAGGAAATTACACCGTAGTAGCATACCTGCACAACTGCTCTGTACAACATTCTTATATGGCAATGGTGTTTTTAACAACAAATGATTAAATGGTGCATTTGAGATTTGCATAAAGATCTCAACTCTTTCTTTTAGGGTGCTACAATTCCAATTAACCAGGCCCGCCCAAACCATAACCTCACATTCACTAAGAAAGAACCAATAGGGTAAGCATCTCCCCTCTCCTCCCCTCTCCTCTCCTCTCCTCTCCTCTCCTCTCCTCTCCTCTTTTCCTAGTCACACCTTGACCAATAGAAAAGCTACTCAAAAAGTGCAATCAAAAATTTTTTTTCCTCTTTTTCCCATTTTCAGTGTGTGTGCAATAGTTATCCCCTGGAATTACCCACTGATGATGCTTGCATGGAAGAGCGCAGCGTGTTTGGCTGCAGGCAACACATTGGTTCTCAAACCAGCTCAGGTAAAAACACAAAGGAACAGCTCCAGGACTTCAGTAGTTGTTCAGGCAAAGCATTTTAGGCACTCTAGTTGATCTCATCTCTAGGTTGAACTGTCATGTGTTGCAAGGGCTCATGTAAAATAATACAAATTGTCATGATCATATAAAGTACCGATTGTCTCCATCTCTTCTCTAATGGTGCTCTCATTTTCAAAAGTTATTTTCTGTCTTCTCATAGAGTTCTGTTTCTTCCTTGATATTTGTGTTGCATGGTGCTAGGATGGTGCATGGTGCTAAGGAGATGGACATAATTCAAAATATTATTACTGCATATGAGCAGAATGTTCTCCTTTTTGCTAGCCATCATTTTTATTTTGTCAATACTGTGAAGAAGAAGAAAATGGATATTATATCAAAATTACTAAGTATAGAATGTAAAAGATATCATCACACATTTAACTAAAACAGAAGATCTAATATAAATGTTTTTTCTTAGGTCACACCGCTGACGTCCTTAAAGTTTGCAGAACTCTCAGCTAAAGCTGGATTTCCTAAGGGTGTTATAAATATTCTGCCTGGTGCAGGTAAAAAAAAAATGCAACTAATCATTTTTCTGGAACTAAATCATACTTAAACTGGAGAACTAGCGTTTTAACACTACAGATCAGCATACATAAGTATATGCTGCATGGCCTTATCTTCATTCCCAGGAGGCTGGCATGTATGTTATACAGCAATTTCACACCTTGCTAGAACAGACCTGGAAAAATCTGTAGATCACGTGGCTGTAGCTAGTGTAACATCGCTTGGCTTACCCCCTCTCCAAGTTCACATGGATAGCATTAACACTCTGACACACGTCAGAGTGTGTGGAAAACACGTTCCTCTCAATTTTAAGACTTCTCTTTTTGGACACATGGATAGCATTAACACTCTGACACAGAATTCTGCCAGAATTTTAAATAAATTCTTCAATAGTTTATTTATGGAAAAACACGTTCCTCTCGATTTTAAGACTTTTCTTTTTGGATTGCAAGACTTCACTTTTTTTCCTAAACTTGTCATCACTTAGAAGTATTAGTGTATTTAAATGTGACTGGGAAAACCTACAGCAAGCTGGTTATTGATCAATGTCAATGAGTTATGGTCCACACTGTGTTTCCTGATGACACTATTCTCCTCTTTTCTTCCCCTAATGAAAGAAGATGACAAAGTAACTGTGTGGGCAGAATTTGCTACAAATTAGGTTATTCCACCTATAGTGAACTATCAGGGAAGAAGTTCTTTAGTCCAGAGTGATGGGGAAATCTGGAACTATTCCCATGATTTAAGTTAATTAGTATGAGTCTTTAATATTGATATAAATAAAGCCATAAGCATAAATAAGGATGTGATATTGTACTTGGTTCACATAGTTAGCTGTCTCTGTGTTAGAGTGCTGCTGCTGGGATAAGAAAAATTGCTCATGTATTGCCCAGTTAAGCTTTTTTCCTCATCGCTATAGGTGGCTTAGTGGGACAGCACTTGTCTGAACATCCAGATGTTCGCAAAGTTGGATTCACTGGTTCAACACTGACTGGTAAAAAGATCATGAAAAGGTATTCTTAGCATAAGATTCATAAATAAGCACTGCTGAGTCAATTTCCAAGATGTCTTAGTAATTCTATCTTGCATGTAGCAGTAATACAGTAATACAGAAATGTAGCTATGCATGGTCATTTACGGTGATGTAGAATTCTGCTTAAAATTCTCTTTTTTTGAAAATAGAGAGAGGTTTATCCTATACATTTTCACTAGATTTGATTAAAGGGAAATAATGTATTCAGCTATTTAAAGCCTGCTTTTTACATAATTATTTGCAATTTTTCCAGTGCAGCCAGTAATCTGAAGAAAGTTTCTCTTGAACTTGGCGGTAAATCACCGCTGATCATATTTAATGACTGTGAACTTGATAGAGCTGTAAAAATGGTAAGTTTACTTCAAAGAAAAAATTACATTCAAAACTTTCATGATACATTCTCACAGTATCGCAATATTTTTATTACTTGCCAAAAAGTGCATCAGGGACCCTTTCATAAAATGTTATGCAATCTCTTAAAAAAAGAGACTCCCTTTCTGCAGGATGTTCCTTTATGCCAACACAATTAAACCTTTAATGCTCCAACAAAAAGCCAGGGATCTGTACTACAAGAAATATACATTAAGAAATACAATCAAAATATATCGATATATGTTGAAATATTCTTACCAGATGAATTTATATATTAAAGATGATTTCTGTCAAATTTTGATACTAAAAAAGCTTCAATTATAAAAGCCTGAAAAGTGAACCAAAACATAGTAAACTCCATACTGACATATCATGCCTTGTAGTTCACCATCACTATCAACTTCACCTTCCCAACCAACCATTGTTTAGAAATGTTTAAAAATTGTTTAAAAATTATAAATAAAATATGTGAACAAGAAATGCAGTAGATTTAAGGAGTTTATTTCCTGTTCATATGGTCTGATTCAAAAAGTGATAATGAATACAGTTTGCTCAGTTAGACCAAAACAAGGTCTCCCACACTGTGCTAGTGCCATGAATTTCTTGCATAAGCAGCTCCTGCTACCAGGAGGAAGCTATTAAGCATTTTTCACACTATTAAACTCTCTTTTGGGAATGTGAGAGTATCTGTGACTGCACAGTGAAGTATATGTGGAAAATAGTAAAAGCTGACTTGCAAAGATCAGCACACTTCTTGGTGCCATCAACTTTCTCAACTGGAGAAAAAAGATAATGATGCAGAGGTTTACCTGAGATATAGGTGACATTGATGGCTTGTAATGGTTTTGAAGCAATGTGTTTATAGTCAACACTGGCACGTGATTTCAATCATACCTAATAGTGGTAGGACCCTACACCTTTGCAGCAGTCAGAAAAGAAGTGCAGAGAAGTTTAAATTGTCCTAGTCATCCTGCCCTTTCATTCCCCACTTCCTACTCCCCAGGAAAAAAACCGTGACAGGCATCAGGTCTTGGTAAATACAAAGCAGCAAGCAGCACAGCAACTGAATCCACGTTCTTGAAACAGGAGCCTCTCTGCACATTAGAGTGACATAACGCTGACCCAGTTGCATGCAGCTATCAGCACAAGCAGCATTGCTCAGCGGGCAGTGCAGCACGGATTCATATCCATCGGCGTTGCTGCCAGCCCTCTTCTCAGTGGTGCTCCAGCCAGTGTTTCTGTGGAAGGCTGATGGAAATGGAAGGAGCAGTGCAAATGCATTCATCCCGAGCTGTTTGTCTCCATGGAAGAGTGTTTGCCTGTTATACAACTAGTTTGCTTCTTGCACTGATGATGTCTGCTTAAATAAAGCATTATATCTGAGGGCATCTCAAGGGAAATTAATGAAGGGGCTAATGAACAAAAGGATATGTATGAATATTAATTTCTTTTTGTTTGATTTTGTTTTCTCCTGATCAGGGTATGGGAGCAGTATATTTCAACAAAGGAGAAAACTGCATTGCTGCTGGCAGGCTGTTTGTGGAAGAATCAATCCATGATGAATTTGTTAGCAAAGTGGTAAGATATTTAAGGACTAATGTTTAAGTAGACACTTCACTATGGCACAAAGATCCCCTTGTTTTGTACGTACACACATTTCTTGTTATTTATAGTTGCTTAAATCCTCATGATTGATTATGATAGGGAATGCTGCTTCTTGTGAAGCTCTTACGAGGTTGAACAGGAGGCACCGAAGAGAGAGATTTCCATCAGAAATGCACAGATAAGTGACAGAAGATATTGTACCATCAGTGATAATTCATATTTGACTAGGAAAGCAATATTTAGAAAATCACTGAACTTAACATCAGCATGAAGATGGCTTGAAGATTTAAAAAAGGTATATTCGAAACATAGCTGTAATCATACAGTTGTCATTATTAAAAATCCAGTAGTCAATGGTACCATTGGAAAATTCATACATCTAAGCTATTGTGATAACTCATTCATCACCAGTAAAAAATGACCTTTTACGTGTCTACCTTAATAGCAGAAGAGAATGAATGCAGAAAAACAACATGAAAAACTTTCAGAAGTAACCAGTGATCGAGAGGATCAAGCATAAGACACTTTACATAGCATCAACTTAGAAGGCAAATGAGTCTTTCACTTTCTAAAAATTCAACAATTTCTTTGGGCCAAACTTCATAGCACAAACGATGAAGCATCCACAAACAGTGGTCTCTAACAGCTGTTTATTTGCTACACTATGTAACCTCATTTTAATTGGTTACCCCATAGGTGGAAGAAATAAAAAAGATGAAAATTGGTGACCCACTTGATAGATCCACAGATCATGGTCCACAAAATCACAAAGCACATTTGGAAAAGCTGCTGCAATACTGTGAAACTGGAGTAAAAGAAGGTGCCACTCTAGTATATGGAGGAAGACAAGTAAATAGACCAGGTAAAATGCTTCCCAAAGCTGTTTGGAATTCTTAAACTTTAAAAAAAAATGTGATTGTCTCTACTGAATTAAATAGTAGTAGTATTGTGTGGTTGCAGGAGGACACTTGAAAACAGGGCTTCCAACTCCCATTTTAATAGCAGTTGTGTAATTGGAGCATAGCATATAAAGTTGACTCAGAATCCAGTGCTGTTACTTGTGGGGCGCTGGGAAACATGATTGAACTAGCAAGAGCCAAAAGCATAGTGGTAGCCAATTATTTCAACAAAACACTAAAGCTGTTTGGGGTATCTTGCTTGCAGAGTCAGCACCTGGAATTTTGATCAAAAGCTTTTTTTTTTTTTTCTGTGTAAAGAGTGCTAAGTTTGATGGGCAGGTATAAGAGCAAATATTTCCTTGAGAAATGTATCAGTATCAGTAAAGAAGGAGAAACATTTGCACCATTTCAACGCATGATTGCATACCCAAAGAAAATGAAAGGAAAAATTTGTAGCCATATGAAATCAATGGGATAAAATTAATGAGAAATCTTATGGAAGGGGAAGGCAAATATACAAGACCTCAAAGTATGTTGACTTTTACCCACTTATGCTATAATACACTCACACACCCAGATGTAGGTGTAGAAAAGATTTGACCATAATCACTTATGGCCACACAGGGACAGCAAGGGATGCCAACTATGAAGTCCACACTGTGACTCCTGGACTCCTCTTCATTAGCAATGGTGAACAAGATATTGGACAGGTGTTTTTCATCCCAAAAAACATCTGTCACGCGTTGCCCTTTATCTCAGTATTCTCCTTACTTCAGTCTCTATAAATTTCAGGCAGAGTTGCTGCCCATCACGTGTTTTTCCTTGATTGGGACATACGGATCTTTATGGCTACAGTCCTGTTTTTCCTTGATTGGGACATACGGATCTTTATGGCTACAGTCCTGTATGCAACCCTGTTGAGATCCTGTAAGCTTGTTGGCAACTTGCTGCTTGAGTCCACGGCCTTCCATTGGGAAGTCACCTGGGTGTGGGTTGCTAGCCCTCAGGGAATGATATGAAAAACACATGTTACTGCTATGATCAAGACAGGCCATTTTTTTAACTCTTGCTCTGCTGCTTCTATAATGCTCACACACATGCCTTTCCATTCATACTCACTCATATCAGTCTTAATGTTTCAATTTCAAGTCTCAGCAGACCTATGACTTGGGTTCAGTCCTAAGTATGGAAAAGAGATGACCTGGACAACATAAATAGAGAAGCATTTTTGTTCTTGATTAAATAATGCCCTATCTTCTGTTTAGGTTTCTTCATGGAACCCACAGTATTCACAGATGTTGAAGACCATATGTATATTGCCCAGGAAGAGTCCTTTGGTCCCGTGATGGTAATTTCTAAATTTAAAAATGGGTATGTTCTCTTCTGGCTACTATTAGAAACTTTGTTATCTCATTTTCTCTCAAAATGTAAAAATAATATAATCAGAATCTCTGTAGTAGTATGATTTTGTAAAATCTTGTAAGACCAAGATGAACCTTTAGGTTCTCTTCCAGTTAGATTCTAAGTAAACATACTTTTTGGAGTATCTTTATACATGTCAACACAAAATTAATGCTATAGAGGTGCAGGAGGGGATACTATGCAACCCTAAATGCCACACCTTAAAAATATTTCATTGAATATTGAGTCTTACCTACTGCAGCTGATAACGATAATTGCAATACCCTGATCAAATTACAAACCATGTATTTTTCCAAGGAAATTGCTTATTCTTCTCATTGTTGCAGAGGACTACATAACATTGTTGTACATATACAACGCTGGCAGACTACTATCACAGATAAAACTGCTCTATATATTTGTGGGCTGACAGTTTAATGCCTTTCATTTCAAACAATTTTACACACATATTAAAGAAAAATCCAAAAAAATCATATAACTATTTCCACCACATTTCGTTTTTTTTTACAGTTTGAAAATTAGTTAATAATTGACCACATAGACAATCTTCATATTTAATACAGGACAATATCATTTCTTATTCTTTAAATATTATGTATTAGGGATTATGGATTATGAAGCAATATGGAGATGAGATACATGAAAAAACAGCACTCTAGACATGGCGTGAAAAGATGCATCACACTAAATTATAAAGTGGGGCCATTATTAGCAAACTGATTCATAATACCTGGCTGCATGTCTTGACTTTCCAAGTATTTTTTCATTGCTGTATTCCCAAAATTTCACTGCAGTTGCATGACGACAGTGTGCCTAAATGCAATATTTATTTTTACAGTTCTCAATGTCAAAGGTGAGAGGTGGTTCCTGAGAGCACTTTCGTGTCTGGGTCAAGTATGGGAGTCTACAGCACAGGATCGGTGTGGCAAGTCACTTAGGGTTAGGGTAAGGCTTCAGAGAAAGATAAAGTGTAGAGGCAATATTGCTGTCACGGTGGAAAGGGGCTGCCCATGCAGGGTATGCGGTGGCCACAGCTGATTCCTTAGAGGAGTTTATTCATTGTACCACACGTGCTGGTTTTGGTAACGCCATTGGCGTTGCAACATTTTGATGATTAGGGTTAGGGCTGAGAGAAAGATGAAGCCTACAGGTGCTGCTGTCACTGTGGAATGAGGCAGCCAGGCAACATGTTCTGTGCTCAGAGATGGTTCTTGTTAGTAGTTTTTTCTCTAGCCAAACATGGTGATCTCTGGCCCACTGCCAAAACAACAAAAAAAAAGAGGGTTAGGGTTACAGTTGAGAGAACAAGAAACCCTAGAGGTGCCATTGTTGTCATTGTGGAATGAAGCAGCCAGGGGAACCTGTTCTGTTCCTGTAAGGAGTTAATTGTCTAGGCCACATGTGCTGGTCTCCTGCCCACCACCCACCTGACAAGACTGTTAGGGTTAGGATTGAGAGAAAGAAAAACCCTAGATGTTCCCTTGTTGTCAATGTGGAATGAGGCAGCCCGAGTGAGGTGTTGTGCCCCAATATAGTGTCTGGTGGGACATTTCTTGTGTTGGCTATATATTCTGGTCTCTGCCCCACCGCTGGCCTAAACAGACTTCTAGGGTTAGGGCTGAATGACAGAGAAAGCCTAGAGGTTCTCTTGTTGTCAATGCAGAACGAGGCACACACAGGGAGGTGTGCAGTGCCCCAGTATAGTTCTTGAGGCATTTCTTGTTTTGGTCATGTATGCTGGTCTTTGACCCACCGCTGGCCTAACAAGACTTTTCGGGTTAGGGTTGAGAGAAAGAGACTGCCTAGGTGCAGTCTTGTTGTCCTTGTGGAACAAGGCAGCCAGGGGAACCTGTTCTGTGCTAAGAAATGTTTCCTGCAGGTAGTTTCTTGTCTGGACCACATAGGGAAGTCTCTGGCCTAGCACAGTCCCAGCAAGATCTTTAGGGTTACTGTTGGGAGTTGAGAGCAAAGAAAGCCCTGCAACTCTATGTAGGTCTTAAACATTGCTTTGTAAAACTGTAGTCTTTATATTTTGCATTGCAGATTAATACTTGCTAAAGTGGTCTTAAATAAGCAAATTTGAATTACAATTACAGTGCTTTTAACCCTTTTTTATTTTACCTAGTTAAATTAGTTAAATCAGTTCTTTCCTCCTGTAGAGATGTTGCTGGAGTTCTAAGACGGGCAAATTCCACGGAATACGGTTTAGCTTCAGGAGTTTTCACAAGAGACATAAGCAAGGCTCTGTATGTAAGCGAAAAGCTACAAGCTGGAACAGTTTTTATTAACACATACAACAAAACGGATGTTGCTGCCCCTTTTGGTGGATTTAAACAATCTGGCTTTGGAAAAGATTTAGGTAAGTTGTCCCACATTTTTCTCTTGATTGTCCAAATCAAGAGAACAAAAAATGGTTGCCTGTAAATAGCACTCGTAAAATCTGAGCTATGTGTCGGCTTCTATCTGCCTCCAGTTTCAATGAGCTAGTTCTTCTCTGCTCCCATCCCTCCAGAGTTCCTGCCTCGGTACCTCCCATTCATCCTTTCCTGTACATTTGCTAAGTACCTCAGTCTCACACAGAATATTCCTTTCCAATTTTTATTGAAGTGATCACATTACAGCTTGTCCAGGGCTGTGTATAAGCTACCAGCAAGAAAAGCTACAGGCCAAAATCTCCTTTTGCTTCCCTCAGCAAGAACACTAACTTAGGTCTCTCCCCTGAAGTTGCTGGAACATGGAAAATTATTTCTTTTATTATGACTTAAAATGTGATAAATATTCGCCACTGGGCCCAGAGCAAGACTGCATAAAACTTGCTTCTTTCAGAAAGCAATTAAAAAAAAAAAAAGATCAGTCTGTCAAAGGGGCTTTACAAGTCTGTACAAATAAGGCCCCATACCAAAGAGAGTTAAGAAAAGTTTTTTCATAGTGACGTAATAGATTTTCCCTTTGGAACTTCTAACAGGTAGCAAACACTTCCTGAAACCAAATTATTATCAGAGAGAAAAAAAAAAAATCTGTTCACAGAATGCATACCTAGAGATTCTACATTTTCTAGGCAAACCAAACTTCTTCAAAAACCTTTATGAACCACAACAGCCATCTAGAAACTGCTGCTGATTAATTCCACACAGGTGGCTCCCTTTTTAAATTCTAGCTTTTTTTCTTTCCACATTTGTTGGCTTTGGCCTTTGCTTGTCAAACCATTTCTATAAATCTCAGCAGGAGGGCAAATTAATCAGTTTGCCATTATTCCTGAAGGACATAAAAGTTCACAGCAAGAGCCAATATTTTAAATACGGGTTAACATTCTGTCATATAGCTGCTGTTCTAACTGGTTAATATTGTGCTCTTACAGGTGAAGAAGCTCTTCACGAATACCTTCGAACCAAGGCTATCACTGTGGAATATTAAAGTAACTGTCTCACTTGGAAAGTAAATTGACTGGGTATGAGTCTTAAGGACTCCATGAATCACTTGATACAATGCCCAGGGTATGCTGTCCAACATGGTAAAACCATCAAAATGAGTCTCCCCAATCCATGCATAAATTTACATAAATCGAGTAGAGATTTTAGTCTCAAGGAAAGATGAAAGCACTTGGCAATTAATCTCAAGTTATTTAAGTATCCAGCAACAGTAACAGGTTTTAGCACAAGCAGGAAAAAAAGTGTTTGAGCTATTTTTTTTTTAAAGTACAACTGAAGAATGTGTTCTCACATGTCTCCTTTTATATTTGTGTGAACATAACATTTACATGATCATTTTAAATCTCTAGTCACAAGGCTTCTCTCAAAGTTGAACTATGTATATTACGCCATTTTTGCTAAAAAATGGTTCAAGTTTTACAGTAGCAATTAAACATTCTGCTCTGGTGATTCTTCAGCAGTACAGAAAACCTTTGTGCCATAAGAAGTAAATAACTGCAAGAAAGTGCACTTACTATGATCTTTGTATAGTACATACAGAGTTCAACATTGGTATTAAACTATGCATATCAAGCTAAAATTACTGAAAATATTTTCTATCTTTTTGTTGATATATAATGTGTGATCTGCCTGCAATTTGAAAGGTGGTTACATTAACAGATTAAAATCACGTTTTCTGTCTGTGCACATGGACTGTTATCACTGTTTTACAGAGAGTGCATATTCATATATCTTACATTTTTTCCCTCCTAATCTCTGACAAAAAAATCTCTTCTAAAAAAGACTGGGTTAAGATAGTGGCTTTCCAACCTTTTTTTTTCCTCCTCCAATTTCAATGCAAGCTTTCCATAGACACCCTGTCTAACAAACTAAGCCTGCTTGCTCTTCTTAGGAAGAAGCTTCACCCAAAGCTTCACCCACCTAAAGCTTCATCTGATCTGTGGACTGCCATCAGAAAAGCAGTCCCACCCCTTGCTTCCCATTCTCTAAAATATTCTGTGATTTAATCAGATAATCCCAGTAAACCATAGCCTCCTTCCGTTTTAAGAATCCATATTGTGAAAGGAATCCTTGTTTATCTATCCCAAATAGCCCATAAACAGAAGTTTAAAGAAAACTCCAGTTTTATGTGTAAGATGCAAAATAAATTGTGTAACTAATTGCAGTTTTCAAGTCACAAAGTTTGAAATTTAATATTTCAGCAACAGTACAGAAAAAAAAATTATGGTGTAGAAAATACAATGTTCCTTTAAGAAACAAATGATGATATTGAGCAGCATCACAGATACTTCTGAAATGCAAAACGATCTCTAAGGAAAATACAACAGTCCAAGTCATTGTTTTATGACAGTCTGGGGTAAGTATGAACGGCACATACTTTCAGCGGCTATGGTTCCACAATTGTGTTAAACTAATGTAAGCACAGTTCTTTTTATTCTTCTGGAAAGAACAGCTATCAATGAAATCAAGAGGCAGAGAAAGCAGGAGATAAAGAGTAAGGTTTAGAGCAATTGCAACACCAGCTAGACTTGACCCATTAAATTCTAAAGTTATCTACACTACAGCTACCAAAACTACTGCTGCTAAAAGCTAGTTAAGGGACTAGCACCAATCTGTGCATAGATGTGTACCTCAACCCATACAAAGCTCAGTGCAGGCCCAGAAAGCCAGGGGAGCTTGGTGACCTTTCTCTTGTTCCATGGTTTTTACCATGCTACCTTACCATGAAAAGACCTCAGCCACTATGTTAGTGTACAGTGCTTACCATCTTGACTGCAATATAGACATACCTCAAGTGTACTTCAAGATAATGTTTAATATCGAAGATGTGTACATACCACTTCAGAGGACAATGAATATAGAAAACAAAGTTTTTCCCTCTCCTTTAAGCCAAAAAACTCTTTCTGCCACACTGCAGAGACTTTTCATCAGCAAGGCATGAGGCCAAGAGTTCTACCTCCTAACTAGACATGCAGCATGACGTCTGCACAAGTTCCAGCCCCATTTCCAGCTGCTTTCTTAGTGGGACTTCCTGGTGAAGGTCATTTCCATATCATTTGAGGAATAAGATAGCAATTCTTCAGAGATGCAGCTTGTCTCAGAACTATTAGGAAAACAATCATCCAAGTGGATACTGCATTCCCAACCATATATACTACGGCATTTTGCATGTTACTTGTAGATTGGAAACACTGGGAAACAAGGCAGTTTAAGGGTCAAGTCTTCAAAGCCAGAAAGCATGATTCTTTCAAAAGTAAAATACAAATGGATTTACTCATTCACTTTGCTGTCCAAAATCTCTATTTTGCCCTTTTCTCCCTTTTGTTTAGGGAACTTAATATTATCTATTGTCACTTCATCAGTTGTACAGTCATCTTCAGATTCTGAGTCATCGTCTGAAAGTGATACCTCTTCATCTGTATCAGAACCACTCAGTTCAACTAAAGCCACATTCTGCAAGGAGGAAAAAAATATATATTACACATTTCAATACAGCACTTCTCATTTGATTAAAATATAAAGCAAACAGACAAACAACCCTACCACCATAAGAAAACTCCAAACCCACGATTAGAAAGACATTTGACTTCTTGTGGAATTATTAAAAACTAATCATGAACACATATTCAGTGTTTGTAAAATGTAATTATTATGCCCCATAACAAATGACCATTTTTATATCATTATCAGAAAAATGAGTACATAGCTGAACTCATATAATCTAAATCAAATATTTAGGTTGATAAGCAGAGGCATCAAAGCTGTACTTTTCAGCGAATAATTCAAATCAAGCCACTTAATGCCTAAGGGATCATGGTACATATACAAACATGTGTGTGTAGGTATTTATTAATATAAATCTTATCTTATAATCTACTACTAGTCTTGGTATTAAAGCTATTGCAAAAGAGCAAGTCATCTAGACCACTATGACATTTTTGAAGCAAAAGCGATCATATATTTCCATCTAAAGTTTCCATCATCCATACCATGATTTTGGTATCTCTCTAAAAACATTTCTTTTCAATCGATGATCCTCATCTCAAAAACTGCCTGCGTGCTGCTAAGCAAAGTACAGGAAATGAGATGTCAGTAAATTTCTTTGGTGATGTGCAAATAGCCTTATGCTATTAATTACCTGATATATTGTCCTATTTATTTATTACAAAACCAAGATACTTGTCAGACACTATCACATGGAAAGTGTTTTCTGTCCAAGTTACTCATTCCATTTGAGCATATCAGAGTAATTTTCATGATCAGCTTTGTTTTCTCACCGTTTGGAATTCTTTCAATCAATCTCAGTGCCGGACAACTTTCAGCATGCAGGTCGGATACAATCTGCAGCAACTCTCGAGTCCACCTTTGTGGACAGTAAGTTGTTCTGATAGCTCATAAACCAACCCCAGACTGCCTTATTTCCTGCAAGGCTACATAGCAGCAGGCACTTGCCTAGGCCAGGCAATCTCCCAGCCATCTGATTAGACGCACACAGCACAGAGAGTGTGTTTTTTCATTTTCTCGGGCGGGGCTGGGGGGAGACGACGACATGACTGCAGCATTACCAAGACAAAGGGAATGATTATGTGAATACAAATAAATGGACAAACACAAGCCCTAAAAATATTAATGACTTTGTTAACCAAAGACCTACAGCCAAACCTAAAATACCTAAAAAGAACATCTGAAAGTCAGTTGTTAGGCTTTCAGTTCACATATTTCAGACTAAAACAGTAAAGACTTGGCCTTATCTATCAAACTAGTTAATCCTAAGGTTAGAGAATTATTCTAACCTCATCTCAATTTATTCTATAAGATCAAAAACAGTGTACCCGCTTACCATTTCTACAACATTTCCTGTTGCAGTGTCCAGATTTTCAATATCAAACTGATGAGCTGGTGCTGTTAGCATTTTTCTTCTTAGCTCATCATTTGCATGTGCCATCTGTGGTAAAAAGTTCTGCACTCTGTCCAAAACTACAACAGAAATAATTATATAATTAACATACATAAAAATGTGTATACACATATATACACACACATATATACACAGGCACATTAATTTATGCACTAATACAGATTTCTGAACATTGGAACAGATTCCATTTCGAATGTAATTTCCAACTGTCTGGCATATTTAGAAGGAAGAGATTTATTACAATATTCAATTTCTTAAGACATACACTGCAAAATGATATGGAATCTACTAGTCAGCATGTGGTTCAGTAAGAAATCACTTAACAATTCTATTTGGATTCTTAAAATGAAGTGTGGCTAGCTTAAAGAAAACTTGCTCACAAATTCCATTGGTTTTAAAACATGTCTTGAGAAATTTCAACATCAGTATTATCTCCAATGGAAATAAAGTTTTGCCTTTCCTTCTTTTTAAAGTATAGACTTTAGACTGAAAGAAGATGGAAAAAAATAGCTACAGAACACGTCATAGGTGTCAGGCTGCCACAAAAAAGGAATGAATGCAGTATCAACATGGGACTCTGAACTTAGAATGACTGGAAAACGGTCATGCTCTAGGTTGAATAAAACACTAATGTTCTGCAGAACTCTCTCTCTCAACTCGATGAGACTTGCCAAGCATTTTAAGATAATCACTGTCATTAAGAGAATCAGACACATTCCCCTACCATGAAGGAAGACAGTATCTTCATCTGCTTCCAGAATTTGTTCAGACAGTCTTTTCCGCTACGCATGGCAGATGATCTAATCTCTAGTTTTCACTCCCTAGGAAGTAGAACTATCCAAGAGCTATAACCTACCTTCCTAAAAACTGTCATCTTCCTAAAGACTTGCATTCAAGGAAAAACTTGATATTATAGAGTGATTTGTCCTTCTATCAGTTTTAAATCTCAGCTCCAATAAAAGTATAGTAATTTGAAAGTAATGTAATTTAAATGTAAATTTAAACCAAAATTCTTTTATAGCAGGAAATACCGAGAAATTACCTCTGAAGATAAATGTCTTGATCAATAGAAAGGAACAACTCTCAGTGTAATGGAAGAAGGCAATCTGTGACTAAAGAACTTTGGTATTTTTAATGAAAAAGACAAATCTTGAAGAAATAAGTATACACAATTTTCAAAGAAGCATGATTACTACACCACTCGTATATGCAGCGTTACATTGAAGAGAACTAAGCTCAACTAAGTAAAAATGAGTGTATTAAGAAAGCATTTATTAAGAATGAAAGGTTACATCATTTGTGTTAATTTCGACAGCATCTTTGTTAAAAATGAAGTTAAAACGATCTGTGTATCTTATATCGATTTGAAAGCAGATGTCCAAACAAAGATTTAAGTTACAATCCAGTTAATTCACTATATGCAGACAAGGAGTATTTATACAAGAACAAAGTCCCTAAAACTTACAACCATAAAGCTTTGCATCACAAAAATCTATATTTTTTGCAAAAGTTGCATTTGCACCTCCTACAGATAAATCACACAACCACAGGGGAAGACCTAACACCAAGAGAAACAGAACACGGGAGCCTCTCTCTTTGTAAACACCAGGAAATGTCTGAAGATTCACTAAGGCTGGAGTAAGTTATGTCCAACAGACACATTAAATGGTACTTGACTGTGTTCCAGTAGCAAAGTTATACTTACTATTACTCCTTGGCATTCTAACTGTCTGTAAAGTTGTGGCCTTCTTCTTGCTCAATTTTGAACTAATCAACAATGTTTCTTCCAGTCCTGCAAACAAACATCAACAAAAAAAAGTATTTGAATATTTACCTATGTCAACCATGGATGTCACATTCTCATTGCTACTTTTTCACCTTTCTATGACAAACAGATCAGGATTCAACAATCTCTATCTCCAAGAATTCCAGGCTGCTTTCCTGCAAGTATTGTTTCTTGACGTTTGTTTGGAATGGATCATGAAAGCACTTTGTTATGCAGCGAACGTCTAGAACTTGCTACATCGGGAGGTTATGAAAGCAGATCAGCAGGTTCAAAATGGAACTAGACAAATTCATGGTCACAAAAAGTTACCAAGACAACTAAGCAAGAATCACTCTAACATCTTGACTCCAACAGGTATAGATACTGTGAAGTACAAGATAAGCAGGCACCAGAAAATGCTTATGATATCTGCTTTCTAAAATTAGTATTTTCTATTGCAATGATCAGACTGCTGAGCTAGAGAGATCACTGGTCTGACCTAGCAGGTCATTTCTTACAGCCGTCCGCTATTTTTTTTTAAGTCTTTGTCAAAGGTCTACTCCACAACTATTACCAACAGGTATTTGTACCTATAATATCTGCATATTTGTACCTACAATATCTTACAGGATAACCATACTGTTGGGTGAAGTCAGTTTGCTGTCCCCTGCTCTACTACACAGAAAAGTACCTTACTGCACCACGTTACACTAAGGAAAGCAGTTAATGCACATGAGTTGCACTGCTTAGAAATCCCTTCCCTTACATATATGATGGTGGTGGAGATAAATGAAAGCAGGCCACAGAGACGGCTAAGCATATCTTCAAGGTTTATAAAATCCCAGTGAAATTTTGCCTTAGAATTAAGCAAGTTAATTCTCATGACTACCACAAGAACCACCAGTCATTTCTCATTAACTCGAGAAACTCTATTTCTCTTTAACATTTGTTTCCCAGTAGAAACTTTGCCATGGCTGCCGACACTAATTTAATTTGTCAATCACTCCGTCTCTATTTTTTATTAATTTTCTCTGAATTATTATTATTTCTCCGTCTGGAAAGCTGTTAGTAGTAAATGCAATATAATAAAATGTGACTTAATAAAAAATAGCGCTAGCAGCTGCGCCCCCCGAGAAGCCTCCCCGGCCAGCGCCGCCTCATCCCCCGCATCCCGATGGGTTCCCAGGAGCGCGGGGAGGCGCGGGCAGCGCCGCTCCCACGGCCGGTCCCGCTCACCTCCCCGGCGCCCCACGGCCAGCAGCTCCCGGGAGGCGGCCGGCCCG